ATATTGATATATCACAACAGTAAAGAATGATACACTCACCACACATCCCCTCTAAAAGATGACAAATCATATATGACTAGGCTTTTCCTAGCCTAAACATCTCAACCTTGTACAAAACTGCAATGCAAAAGAATAATACAATCGTAGCACCAATCAACAAGTCAACAGTGTGAAGAAAGAATACCTGCAACCAAAACGCAAATAATTCCATCAGGGCAATCATAAAGATGTCATCATTCGACAAAAACTTAATTAAAAAGTAGACCACAAAAAGTAGACCATTTAGAAGTTGAAGATGAAAATATTGATCATGCTAAAGGAAAAGATAAAGTACGAATTTGTTCTCTAAAGTGACTAGTTAGTTCATACACTTATCGCATTAATCCAACAATATTACAAATGGAAAATGGCGACAGTTTCTTCCAGGGTGGGGATAAACTGATCTAGAATCCATTCATCCAGAAGAACCAGAGGCTACCATCACCATGTATCATACCAATAATAGAAATTCAAATCATCTAATTTCATCAATCCCATTAAAAATTCAAAAGCCTTATCACATAAATCAGTAGTTTTCTTTTCTTTTCCTCTGTTGTATACACTTTATGCATGTGAGTGAGAGTCTATTTTTATCTCATGGGGACAGCATAGCAAAGGCCATTCATTCCCCAAAATATTTTGACTAGAGATGACTGCTACATATCCCATGAGGCCAGAAGCCTTTTATTGTAATATGTTTACACAAGGCCTATCTCTTACACAATCTCACCATAAAATCAATGCAGAATTTCACATGATAATCCTTTTCCGAGAAATATAACAGATTAGATTAGAAACCTCACTAGTCTATAGCCTTATAATAACTTGTTGCATCAAACACATCACAGAATCATCTCAGAAAGTAATAAAGACATGAGCATCTAGTTGTGATTCCATGAAGCATATAATTTGTAAATTATAGTATTTCTACGATATATCCCAGGCATATGCACCTATAGTTGTATAACTTGTACAAATAAAAGTTTTCTGAAATCTACCCTCTCTAGACCCATGGTGTTGGAGCCTAGTGCATTTAGCTGCCCTTCAATCCCCCTATGAGTGTTCTGAACACCGAAATCAAGATTTTAAACTCTCAACTTTTGAGAGCCTAAAACCAGAAAAGATAGTTCATCATCCAGCCCAGAAAAATACCATTAAAATTTTGAACAACAAAAAACACTAGACACAGCATTCCATTGTTCACAGAAACACAATTTCAGTCAAAAGGGATAAGCAGTACAATTTTATGATTCTACCAAATCTCCCTAAATTCTCTAAACAGTTTGAAACATTTTCAATAGGTACATGCAAACGAAACTGTTGTACAAGCATGGTCTTACTTACCTGTCTTAGAATGGAAAGAAGAAGCCCTTCAAAAACATGTAAAGAAAATAGAAGCAATAATATTGCCTCTATAAAGAATAACAAACACAAGAAGAGAACTCAAAATTGCTCCAGGATGTAATGGAGTTTTGGAACCCGCCGACGGAACAGTGGTTCAAGTCGAAATGATGGAACATCAAACTGCCAACCATCATACATCTCATTCCAAGCTTGCACTATCTCATCAATTTTGAACCCTGCCATTAAGAGAATAGGATTGTCAGTTCCCTGAAACATTTGAAACTGAAGGAAATTTGAGAAATACACACTCCGGACCACAGTTTCCCATTTCATACCTTCCATTGCCGTTTCATTAGAACAATGATTCTTTATCATGACCCCAATATCAGTTGTTGAAGCTCCAGCCAGTTCAAATTTTTCAACTGCAACCTCTACACATTCTTCCCATGTTGGCAGGCCTAGCTTATACTCCACAACAGAACGCTCATACAACAAAGTGCCCCATAAAAGATATATTTGCAACCTCATCCTTGCAGCCTGTTCATCAGCTTCATCAGCAGAAACATCCCTGAAAAGACCATGCAACCCCATTTTCTCTAGCTGCTCTTTATACTTATCCGTTTTGGACAGTCCATTCAATCGCCGCTCCTCCATCTCCTCCCACATCATCATGCCTTTCTCCATGTTGTCCTCAGCCTTGTTAAAGAGCTCCACAACCTCATCCGAATGGCTGACTTCTAAATCCTTCTCGGTTGCAGTCAAATAACACCAGCACAGCCTTGCTTGCTCAAATTGCTGATGCCCTAGAGCAAGAAGCCCTTCATAAAAATCTGGTTTGATTCTAACAGCCTCTCCAAATCTCTTCTCTGCTTTCATATACTCCTTCTGAGCCCATTCATAAGCAGCTTGAATACACTCAAACGAAGAATCCCTCGATCCATCCTCCGTAAGACTCACCCTCTTCCTAGCCCTTGACATATGCACACTCCCCCAATTGAACAAAGCTAAAGCCGCCATCTCCTGAAACCTATCTGCAGCAATCTCAAACAGTTCCTGAGCAGCCTCACTTGTCACTGCATCCTCCATGGCCTCCGAATACAACTTCATCCCAATCCCATGAATATCCAAATACGCATCTGAATCAAATCCAACATGATTCTTAAACAACCTAGCAAACTGCACAAGCCAATCCTCCACAGTACTACTCCTCCCCTTCCCCACACCTCCATTCCCATTCTCAACCGCCTTCACCTTTTCACCATCCGCCACAACCCCATCATCATAAAATGGCTCCTCTTCCGGCTCAACCTTGGTCACATAAAGCCGAATCGACCCAAGAACATGACAAGTTTCAGCCAGCCTCAATTCAGAAGTATTAGTTATAGTAACCAAATCACCCTCCCTGTCCTTATACTTCACAAGAACACCCTTCAACCCCGGAAACTTATCCCTTATCACATCCCTCACCAACCTAATTCCACAATTCACAGGCAATTGCGCCCATCTAATATCCTCTCCATATATCAACTTCACAGTCCTAGTAACAACCCCTTTTTCTTCTTTCCCCAATTTCTCTTTTTCTTCCTTCCCCAAATTCTCTATCTCTTCTTTCCCCAGTTTCCCTTTGTCTTCCTTCGCCAATTTCCCTTTATCTTCCTTGCCCAATTTTCCCTTCTCCACTTTCCCCGATTTCTCTTTTTCCTTTTTCCTAACATTATCAGCCTTAACCTTCTCTTCAACGATAATCTTCTTCGCCTTCCCCTCATCCTCCCCCTTGTTTTCCTTCTTATTCTTCTTGATCTTCTCCCTCACCACCTTCCTCAGCCGCGCAGACGGCGGCTCCGGATGCTGCTGAAGCGCCGCGAGGGCTATCTCCGTCTCATCAAGCACAATCCCCTTCTCCTCCATCGTCTCCCTCAAGCTATCCAAAACCTCCAGCGCCGTCGAGTTATTGGGCTCCAAATTCAGAACCACGCGCACGTCCCGCATCGCCAGGTCCAAGCGGTTCAGCGCCTCGTAGCACTTGGCCCGCTTCAGCAGCGCCTTGGTGTAGCGCGGCGACACCTGCAGCGCCATGTTGCACTCGCTGATGGCGCGCGGGTACTCGCCCAGTCCCAGCTGCATGTAGCAGATGGCCATGCTGGTGTGGAGGTGCGCCATGTCGATGTGGTTCCGCGGCAGAAGCTTCAGAGCCTTTTCGTACTTCAACATCGCTCCCTCGTGGTCCTTCCTTTGAAACAACCGGTTCCCTTCCTCTCGAAGCTCATGCGACATGTTTATGAACATCGCCGTGTCCTCGTCCAGCACCTTCGACGTCGCCGCCGACGACGACGCAGCCGCCGCCGCCGCCCCTCGTTTCTCCTCCCATGATTTTGTCGGCTGGTGGTGACCGTTCGCCCTCGTCGTGGGAGCGGGAATCTCATGATCTTTCTTTTTACCCGCCGGCTTCCCCATATAACTGAATCATCGATTGTCGTGAAAAAATTAAATTTAATTAAATTCAAAAATATAAGTTATAACAATTAATGAAATTGAATCCGAAATGTTAAAAATAAATAGAACAAGTGAAAGAGAGAGATATTTTAGGTTACTTGGTTATATGATTATGGAGATTGGTATTCCTCCTTTCCCATTTTTTGGCTTAGGGTTTCTTTTGCCTCAAGTCAAATATGGGAGAAGGAAGAAAATGAATGAATGATTGAATTATGAAATGAAAGGAAGAAAGAAAAGTGTGGGAGTTTTATTATTATTATTAGAAGATTAATAATCAATAACACAGCGCAAAAGGCATGTGGAGTGAGACAAGGTAGGGTTGACGTGATTCAAAAATGTGTACCTAAAATAGGAGTCAAGCGACGTCGTTCGGTCAAGTTCTCCCACTTCACAAAAATGTTTGTTTGATTTAATTTTCACGTGTGGACCTTTTCCTTCGCAGTGTTTGTAATTTATTTTGGTCCCTCCTTTACTTGCTAATTTTTTTCTTTATCGTTTCACCCTTTGACCACTTCTTAATCACAACCACACTTTTCTCAACACTTTTGCTTCTCATTTTTCTATCACTTTTCTCCTCTCTTCAATTTTAAAATTATAAAATAAATACAGCTTCTAAACACATGGGAATAAGATACCTTCCTCTTAGAACTTAAATTCAAATAATCGAGTTAAGATAGCTTCTAAACAGATGGGAAAAAGATGACTCAGTTTTTTATTATAGAATACATTTTTAAAATAGAGATTAAAAATATATTTGTCTTCCAATAAATTCTTTTCTAAATCCTTCCCATAGTTCAAATAATTTTTATGCTATTAATTTAATAGTGTTTATGCACTTATAACTTGTTTTGGAATTCATTCACTATATCATACATATCAATTATACAAGAATATTATGGTAGAAGAATGCATTAAATAACTAAAAAAAATATCTTATTTATAGCTATTCAAAGTGTTCACAAAGCCTAAACCACACTGTCTTATCAAATACTTAATCATGTATTTTGAAGAGTAGAATGGATACAAAAAGTAGGAAGAATAACATCAAAATCCATTATGTAAATGGTTTTAGCTGGAGAAGATGATTGAGTAAGAATATTTTAGTCCAAACATAAACCAATTCATATTTCATAATATATGCATGACATCAATACATGAGGAAAGAAAGAAGTACATTGTAGTGTATATTTAATACATTGTAACTTGTTCCATCAGTTTTCTCTAGGCAATATAGCTGGCTGCATTCTGTAATGTGCATTATTACTTAAGGGCTTGTAAGTGTCGTACCCATATAGGGTTAGGTATCACATTAGATCAACATACACTGCAGATAAGAACAATCGTAGGCATTCGGAAACAGTAAATTTACTACCTCAGACATTGATAGTGAATGCTGAGCGCAGATTACAAGCTGGGGTACATACATGGCAAAATATTTCCAGGTGCTAAGGGGTTGACCTCCTTGGTAAAGGGCATAACATTGATTTTGCAGTTGCAACATAGTTGTTGGATATGTCTGAACTATCAAAAGGAAAATATTTCTGTGACCACCTTTTCTTTGAGGGTACTTGCAAATTGAGATTATATCAGGAAGACCAGTTTTGACAAATGGATTTTACGGTAAACTTCAAGTCCCAGACCAAAACCACTGCCCGTCTTTTCCTTTATTTTTCTTTCAATATTTACTTCCCCCAACGGTTCCAATCCCTTCTGTTTTGTCTTTACTTGAAATGTTTGTGAATAACTTTTCTACATCAGGAAAACAACCCAGAAGATGAGAAGCTGTTATTACTAGAATTCCAGAAGCATGATAACCAACCCATGATTCCTTTCTCCACGGGTTGTGCAATGTCCCATTCTCGCTTGTGTAGCACCCTCACAAACTCACCAAAACTTAGATTTCCGTCCCGATTTGTGTCAAACAAATGGAAAACAATTTCAACCACATTGTCCGAGAGAGATATGCCGCATACCTAAATTATAACAATTAAACAAATTAAGATTTTACTATCCTAGCTATATATAATCTACAAAAATGGTGAAGGAAAAGAAATTTGAAAAGCACCCGGATCATATAACTCAGAAGGTAATAGCAGAAATAAAATTGCAACATTGATTAGATAAAATAAGAATTGAATCCTCCGTAAAAATGTACACTCATTGTAAGCACCAATGCATAAGTGCTATGTTGAGCAAAATATTAAAGATAAAATGACGTACCTGTGATGCTGCCCTCTGAAAATCGTCTCTTGTCAACAGACCGTTTACTTCTCCAAAACTAAAAACAGCCAATGAAAATGGCAACAATTTTTTTCGTAGCTCTGCAAAGTTTTTGAAATCCTCGAATGTGATACGTGCATCCTTGAGGCATGGATCATCATTCAACATATCAACCCGTTTAAGCAACCTGCTTAGATGACTCATGTCTGCAGAAGCAACCATGGAGAGTGCAAAGTCCTTGGCTGATATGGTTTGTTGTGATTTGTAGTCATAATGAGCAAACTCCAGTCTCAGAATCTACGTAAAATATTGAAACTAACGGTCATACGTAATCACTTCTGAGGTCACCGTAGAAAACATTCTACACATATGAAACTTTTACAGAAAATGGAAGTGATCAATCTCGTACATAAAATTTATGGCGGGAATTCAAACATACACAATTGTTCACGTAGAAGCTCAAGAATCAAGTTATCTCATTAAATCACAGTTCCATACGTCAAATACTGTTAGTTAAGCCCCATTAATTAGTAGTTAGTAACTAACAATAGGTTAATTATTTAGCATTTCTTAATTTATAGGAGATAGTTTGAATAAGCCCTCTGTGACTATAAATAATAGAAGGGTTGAGAGAGAGGGATGAGGCATCTTAGCAAATTGGAAAGGTTTGAATTCTTGGAGTGGGAAGATATCAGCGTCTCTAGAGTACCCTGAGCACCATTGTAACTATCTCTAGCTCTGTTAGAACTACTCTGCATCCTTCCTAAAGTGTCTAAAATAACTAAGAAACTTATATTTGCAAACACTAAAATTTATTACAACTACTCTGCATCCTTCCTAAAGTGTCCAACATAACTAAGAAACTTAAATTTGCAAACATTAAAGTTTGTTAAAACTACCTCAGATTGCACATAAAAGCAAATAAAGTTTTGGCGGTTCTTAATGCCATCACCACAAGTCACAACTACCTCCACCACGTTAATGATAATGAAAACATAAAAAAGTATAAGATCTATTTTTCCAGGTGCGTATATCGGTGCAATATATCATATATGGTCAGACAACTAATAATGATTTTCCAAAAACATGTGGAGAAGAAGTGACAAAGCAACCATTTATCGCTATCCTTCAAACCCCATGAAGAAACTATGATTGAAGCAACTAGCAATTTACCTCATCATGCAAGTCTCTCAAAAATTTAACAAATTTATCATGCTGGAGGCATCCATTTCCATCTTTATCAAAAAAATATTCCACCAGCCCTCCATCTTCAACAGAATGGTTCACCTTTAGGCCAGTTCGCAGTCCATCCCTGTGGTGAACACCCTGTCGATGACGAGATCGCATCAATGCCATCACTTTCTTGAACTCTTCCTTACTTATTTCCCTGTAAAGTTGTAAATGGGAAAAGCAAACTGATGTCATCGGAAGAGAGATATAATACTGGAAAACCAAGCACCCACAAGGATACAAATCGAATTCAAAGTAGCTACAATTACAAGGCAACACTTTGTGTAGCCTTGAAATTGATGTCATTGCATGTTTGCAACAATCTAATAGCAATATCCTCAAAAAAATGACTGATGAATATAATGGTAGAGTTACTGGCAAAGGAGTAGCACGAACACTCACCCATTATTGTTGATATCAAACATTTTAAATGCCACTGTAAAACTTGATTCCGGGATGCTGAGTAGTGTTACAAAAAAGATATACCTGCTCCAGAGAAAAAGAACAGAAGTTGGACACATACAAACATAGAACATGAATTAGATAGATGAAAAGAAAGTACAAACAACAACAAAAAAGCCAAATAACCTTAGTTAAAGTGGCAGCAAGCCCCTTTGAGGACTGCTTCATCCTCAATTGAATTCATTCATAGGCTGCTTTGCTTCCACTTTACCCTATCCCCATTCCCATAACAGGTCTTAGACATCCTTTGCAACTAAAAAGGAAAGAGAAGAAAACAAAGGATATTTAGTTTGTCAAAACATTTTCTCTTTTCGTTTCATACTTCCACTAACAATTACAAATTCATCACCTCATTTTTACTTTGTTTCATGTTTTGAAAAATCTGCACAAAAAACCATGAAAATTACACTTTGTGTGAAACCAAACAAAACTCAGCTTGCACACAATAGAAAATGGAGATATACCCAATTTCCCCCATCACAACACTTAACAAAGAAGAAAACATTAATGGAGGAGATGACTCACTCTTTAAAAGATATAAGCCCATCATCGTTTACATCAAAAAGCATAAAAAATTCAGAAGGAGGGCAGCGTAAATGACCCGGACTCCTTTCTCCTTCCAAGTATCCATCTCTAACAAGGTTGGATTCAGATGGAGGGAAAACAGGAACCACTGCCCGCATCAGGTCTGCTGGTTTCATCAGTACTTCTCCTTTTGGACTGCGATCAGATGCAAAGTACTCAAAAACCTTAATCAAAAAACAATAGTAGACATTGTCAATGCAGTGATCATTTGAAAACATTTACATAACATTAACTTTGCAATGCTATATTCTCTTATCATTCCCCCTAATTCCCTACAAGATAAAAATAAATAAAAATTAACCATGGGTTTAGATAGAGAATTTTACAATTCCCAAGAGATTCTATTATGCTGAATTTGAATTGCTCTTATGTTAAATTAATTCATTTTGTAAATGTTTTGTTAGGATAAAATAATAAAAAATTTATTGAGTTTTATTCCTATGTGTAGAGTATTTCAATTATCACCAAATATAAAAATTTATTTAATAGTTAAAAAATATCAGTCATAATATTTTTTAGTTCAAGCAGGTCAGGATTACCTTTTGGCCAAAATCCACAAGATTTTTAAGGTGATGTCAACAAGAGTTATTTTGAATTGACATTAGCCGAAGTTATTTTAAGGTAAGGTCGACCACAATTATTTTGGCTAATAGTAATCTTCAACAATATTGATAAAGGTCATTTTTGCTGACTTAAAAAAAATTCCATCAACTGTCATTAGCCAAAAGAATACTAGTCGAGGTTGGTTTAAAGTTTCCCATTCGATACTAAAAAAACTCCTAACCAATTTTGGACAAAAACATTGGCAATGTCAATCGAAAACAATTTCTGCACACATTGACTAAAAAAAATTATAAAGGCGTCGACTGTACAAATCTAGTTGACATGAGCTAAAAAAAACTCCACAAATAATCCAAACAAAGTCTAAAGGACAACCCATCAACAGAGCTCAGGAAAGATTAAGAAGAGAAAAGACAGAGATGTAAGAGAAGACAAAGTACGAAAAATGTTAATTTCTTACATTTTAAGTAAAATTTAAAATTTTCTAATTTTAAAATTACTCATAAATTTTTAGAATTTCAATTTTTTTTTTAAATTCTCTAACCAAACAACTATTTTGTCATAAAACATTTTAAAAATAAATTACCCTCTAAAAAGTTTTCATCCAAACACACTATAAAGGACAAACACACAATAAAGGAAAAACCAAAGCTATCTATTATATGTAAAAAAATAAGAAGCATTGAATATTTTCTGCGTTATATACATAGGAGGACTTGCTATATGGGGTTAAAATTACTTTTTCAAGTAGAATTTAGCCCAACTTTCTTTGGACTTTTCTTCTGATTTAAAGGAAGAGCTAAGCCAAACGCATTCTCTATGCAGTTTAACTTTTATAAAAGTAAAGGAAAAAAATTACATTCCTAAAAGGTGGAGCGAAAGAGGTTTTTTTAAAAAATTAAAAAAATATAAATTGACACTCATTCTCTCTTAATGTTTATCTTCCTTAACCATCATATCACTTATAACATTTATCATCTTTCATTTTCCATCTCTCACCTCCCTTTCTTTCAAGCCACTTTTTAAGGAAAAAACAATTATACGATCCCACGACACAACTGAGATTCGTTTTAATTTACAAGATAGTGTTAATAAAATAAAATTCCATTATGTATTACATGAAGATTGATCTAGACTCAAAAGCGCAGAAGTCGGGAACATATAATAATTTCTCCCACTTTAAGGTAACGGAATGAAATTCGTCACAAAATATTTACTCAATTTCCAAAGTTCCGAGATTTAACTTCAACTTTCAAGTAAAAAAAAATAGAATAACCAACTAGAATTACAAACATGAATTAAACTTTATGAACGTAGAAAAAGATTATTATGTTAAAATTTATTTGATTAAATAAGAACAGCAAGTGATAAATATGCACCTTTTCCGGAGGACTTCGCAACCGCATACGCTTCTCATAGTTGAAGAAAATATTTCTCCTGAACTCATCTACACCACAAAAAATCAAATGACGTTGTTCTTACTATTTTTATTATCAATAATAATATCATAATTATTATAATTAGAAGTAGTATTAACAAAACCAAAACCAACAATCAGCTTTACAAAATTAATTAATTAAATATTTCGAGGAAGCGAGAGAAACTTGCCTCCAAGTAGCAAGCCAGAACTTTCAGGAAGTGAAAATTTGGGAAAGAAGGTGCGACGTGGTTTTTGATCTTCAGAATTCGGTGTTGACCGGTCAACTAGAGAAGCGATGGATTCAAAATTTAAAGTAGGCGAAAAAGAGTAGAAGCCGAACAGAAGAAGACCTAGGACACCAGAGCCGGCCAGGGCGGTCGAAAGTGCAGTTCGACCGAAACCGGTTCGGACTGGGTCGGCGGTGTTGAGGAGCGAGGAGGCGGGGGAAGAGGTAGAGGAGTGGCGGATCTGGAACCGATGGATCGAGAAGCTTTGGGCGATGAACGGTGAGGATCGGGTTCTGAAGGAGGAAAAGGAAGACATGTTAACGGTGTGTGTGCTTGTTAGTAAGGCAGACACCGTTAAGTAATGAAGGCACAGATAAACTGGGTGTTGAATCCTGGTGCGGAATCTAGGTGCCGAAACAGAAGCTTATGAAAAAACCGTTGAGGGCTTTTTTCGTGCACCTCCCATTTTTCATTTTGCACCCCCAAAGTTTTATAAACTCTAAATAGCCTTTGCCACAAGTGTAAAAAGACTAAAACCTAATTTCTCTCTTATAATTTACTTTCTCACAACATTCGCTCTACCCCTAGAGCCCTGCACAATACAAAAACTTTCTCTCTTACTTTTCACCATTTCTCCCATCTTGCATCCCACGGCAAAATACTTTTTTTCTCAAATCTTACTTCACTCTCCCCACACATTACACCTCACCTTTTATCTCTCTTTTTTTTCTTTTTCTTTTCACAGTAAACTCAACTAAGTTATATTTTTTATTGTTTATTTGGAATAATAGAAAATTATATGATATTTGAATTGTTGAAATTCGTAGATGGAAAAGAAAACTCGAATTTGAAAATTGGATTTTGAAATAATGTTAGATAATGTATTAGTTTTTGAAATTCAATTATTAGATTTCGATATCCGAAATGTTCTAGATTTTGAAATCCACACACACACACAAATATATATATATATTAGGTGTATTTCTTTTATTATTTCTTTTATTATATATTTATTATAAAAATAGTAAGAACATAATATGTCTCAACATATTAGATTGAGAATTTTGCATAGGATGAAATTAAAAGGAGACCTAAGAGTAGAAGGGGTCTTCATGGTGAAACTAAAGAAGTTGTAGTATTAATTGCTTTTAATGTTGACTAGTAATAGGAAAATGTCATTAAGCAGCACCATAATGTTCATAAAAAAAACAAAGTAGTTGGATATTTTGGAGGTCTACATAACACTTCTTTGTTGTCTCATGTATGTGAATCACATATTTGTTTGTCAAGTTATGTGAATCACATATTTGTATTTGTATTGTGGAAAGATTAAGTTAGTAATGTTTTTTTTTTTATGGTTGATGACTCATTTAAATTTTATATGTAATTGTTTTCTTAGGATCGAGGGGAGACAAAGTTAGTCTCTCATGAAAAAAAAATAAACAAATTTGAAACATGTCATGTCACTATTTAAGATTATATGTTGGATTTTGGTTTAATGTCTATATGTGATATTTTGTACAATTACATCGCTAAGGTGTTTAAATTGTCATTTATTAAGAGATAACACAGAGAGACAAACACCTTTCAAGTCTATAGTAGTGAGATGATAGTCACACTAGATAATGTGTCTTTTTTGCTACATCTATTTGTAGTGGAATAGTTTTGTCCGAATGAACCTCTAAACTTTGAAGGGGCTTTGAAAACTTTCATGAACCTTTTAGGCATGGATCGCACGAGGGCTACATCTGAGCTTAGGCAATGTCATGGTCGCCATGTAAGCCTGAGTTGGTTAAAAGATGTATATAATGACTATTGTGATAACCAACACTAAAAGTATGTCGCACAAGCCTATTTGTTGCATCTTATTATATGCACAACTTTTGTAGATAAGAGCGTCACATATATTTGTGTATCCAACTTGATACTCTTTAGAGATCTACAATCATGTGACAAATATGCATGGGGAGTTATTGCACTTGCCCACCTATACGAGCAGCTTGGAAATGTTAACTTTGTAAAGACAAATCAATTAACTTGATATTTAAATCTTTTACAAGTACACATATATTTTGCACTTTGATTTTCTTTATTTACTATTTCATTATTGAAATACATTTGCACTTTTTTGTAGAGTTGAATATATGAGCACTTCTTTAAGAACACTTCTTTAAGATAAGAAGGAAGTAGTTGTTGGCTAGTTATAATGAGGCTAGACCGCAATTTTTATGACGGGGAGGCAGTTTTCCAGCCTACATGAGTTTAGGGTACAATTAGATCCTTGACGTATAATGCCTTCACATCGAATTACTTGTCCGCATCTAACAATTTGTATGTTCTCTGGCTCCATCGGAGTGGGTGGGATTATTCATTGTCATTTGCCTGAATGTGTGTTAAGGCAATTTGGGTATGATCAGTCTATCTCACTATTGTCAAATGTTGTTCTAGAGGCTAACTTGACAACCATTGATAATTGTTAGTTACGCTTCACCAAACATGTGTTGGTTAATGTCACAACAGAGGAGGTCATAATATACACCATAGACATTCATCTACATTTGGCTAGCAACATGTTTATTTAATGATCTCTTGATCTATGTTGATTTACATGTAATAGTAGCATTTTTATTATGTCTTATATTGTTTTGAACGTTAAAGTAATGTTTGTAACTAAAGAATTTTGTATTTATTATTTGCATATATATAATCTATTTACATAATGCAAATATCAGTCATAATGCAAATCTACATAACTAGTATTCATGCTCATCAACTCTACATAACTAGCAACATGTTTATTTAATGATCTCTTGATCTATGTTGATTTACATGTAATAGTAGAATTTTTATTATGTCTTATATTATTTTGAACGTTAAAGTAATGTTTGTAACTAAAGAATTTTGTATTTATTATTTGCATGCATATATATAATCTATTTACATAATACAAATATCAGTCGTGATGCAAATCTACATAACTAGTATTCATGCTCATCAACTCTACAAATGTTTGCTCCATACTGACAAAAGAAGATGACCATGCATGATCCTCAGGGTAACAACATGTAGATGATATGATATCCACCATCGATAAAGGACAACATTTATATAGGTGAACATGTATAAATAAAATTAGTAAATGGAAATTATTTTATATTAGTACAAAATACTAATCACTTTACCTGCACAAAATGAGAACTATGAACATGTCTTATACTTATTAGTCGATATTGTCTTATATTAGAATGTGATCTAGTACGTAGCGAAAAGATCATAATATTTTGGACCAATGACAAACAAACTAAGATGATATTATATTGATTAGCAATAACATAACCCAGGTATAGTTATCCACTTCTCCATATTAGCATGTAATTAATGAAACAAATTATTATGGAAGAAAAAGGTAAGACATAATAAGTAAAGTGTAAAGTATAACAATATGTATCCCTAATTAGGAGTCGATTATTAAAGACTTCATTAGTTTTTCTAGTTGATCATAGTTTCCCTCTAATCTTTCATATTTATCATGCCACTAGCTAAGTTCTTTAAACACTCAATAAGTTTTTTAAACAAATCATGTCGAATAAGGTGGTCATGACACTTCATGGATCCCCAACAAAGAAACAATGCATATATTTCCACAATGACCATTATCAATGACATCAATAACATCGATAATGTAAGGGTGACAGATCGGATGAAACTAATCTAAAACATGTATTCACCTTTATTGCATAAATCCAAATCTTGCATCAGATTTAGTCTTAGATTGCATGTCTTTCTTTACTGAAAAACTATCATGTATAAAATGCAAGGCATCTATATGCTCAAATTACGAGGGTTCACACTTTGTAAACCTTTGAGATAAATGAACTTTAATCTCTATTGCACCATTAGTATTAACTTTATGCATTGAAGGTATCATTGATGTCATAACAGAACAAACAATTTTAAGTAACTTTTATGTGACTGTCATTTTTTTGCAATGTCAACTTCTTTGAAACAATTAAGAATCAGATCAAATTCTTTTTGAATGCATAACTTTATCTGTGATTCATTTGATGAAATATTTGAAAAACTCAATCTAGTTCACATAATATGAATTTCAGACAGATCAATAATCAAAGGGTTATTTCGTGCTAATTCACAAACACATGGTAGACCATATGTTCCTCTCAAAATGCAACTACAACTTTTACTATCAAATCCTATATGTTGAACTCGATTGAACTTCCCAACAATGAGTTCCAAAACATATTTGGATACATATTCAACCAATCTTTTATATCATCTTGACTTAAAAATGACATTCATAAGATTTAAACTTTTTTTCAAAAGATGTCTTTAATTCATTATGTTGCGGGATGATGACTTTATGAATTGTATCTCAATACAAGTAAAGGTCTCTCATACTACTTCTCAATATTTTCTTTAGGCTATAGTGAATAAACTCAACCCTGATATAAATGACATAAATAATAGCATAAAACATCTATAAAAAATAATTAAATAAAATAAGATTCATACGTACTTGTTTGATATTATGTTTCCTAAATAAATTAATCGATTTGTCCACACCTTTACAAAATATTTTTTATACGGAATAATCCAAGAGTCGTTGATATATTCAAAGAATAAAGATCATGAATTACAAACATAATGAAGGTGGTCAAAATAATCACTAAAGATTGACTTAAGTTCACAATCTATGACATTTTCCCATGCTTCCATGACAACATCTCATGCATCAACAAAATTAACTAATATTGGCTTGCACATTTTACTGAATGTGAAAACGACATAGGAGATGATAACATTTAGGGAATATATTGTCAATGACATTCATTAAAGCTAGGTATTTGTCACTAATAATGACTTTTGGACCAGCTTCAGAAGTCATAAATAATTCTCTTAGCATTTTCAGAGCCCAGGTGAAATTATTTTGTCATTCACTTGATAAGAATACAAAGATAGTTGAAAAAGTCAACCATGTTCATGTAACCCCAACTTTCTTAAGTAATAGTAACCAATATTTGTTGGTTTTTATCCATTAAGAAAACAATATTAAAAACATTCAAAACATTCAAAACATTTATTACAACATGATGTGAACACAAGATGTCACTTACCACCTCAGATTTGTCCAATAGCGAATCTTCAACAAATATATAAAATCTTTTAGGAATGCCAAATATATAAAACATATTAAAAAAATGTATTAATTTTTTTAAAAAATAGTTTAAATTATATATTAATTTTTATAAGGTTTAAATACTAATTTGGTTCTTATTTTCGTTGTGTTTATTCAATTTAGTCATAATATTTTTTTCAGTTTGGTTCTAATTTTCATTAATTTTGTTCAATTTAGTCTTTTTGCTAATATCGTTTAAGTAATTAATGAATAGTGAACAAGATAAGATCGGTCATATGTCAATTCGTGATTTTTTAATATTTTTTTTATATTTTTTATTTTTATTTTTAAGTTTATAAAAAAATGTCTATGCATCATACCAATATCGTGTCATGTGTCATGATAAGTATCACATGTTACAGTCAATGTTTTATATTCAATTTGGTTCCTATATTCGTTATTTTTTTAATTTAATTGTTTTTAAATAGAATAATTTTTTTCTTCTTCAAATTAAAACCAAATTTAATTTTTATATAAATATATACTTATATTTTTATTAAATATTTTTAATTTAAGGTTATAATTGATTTAAAATTAGAATGCAAATTTCAAAAAGTGAATAGAAACATTAATAACTTAAAATTTTAAGAGATTAAAAATTATATGTGATTTTTAAATTTTTAAAAGATTAAAAAGTGGAGAGAATGTTATTACTTTATGTAATTTTTAATCTCTTACAATTTTAAATCGATAGAACTAATCTCATTTTTTAAAATCGTTCTAATTTGATATCTAATTCTTAAATATTGATATATTTTTTTTATCCTTCTTTACCGTTTATATTGTTGCTTTTTCTTATTCTTCTAACTGTGCTCACCCCCATTTAAATTATAGTTTATTTCATAATGTTACTTTCTAAAGATAATATATTTATAACATAAGATTATTTTTACAATAATATATTTTTGAATGTAAATTTATTGATATTTATATGTTAACTTTTAAACATAATTTAATAATATTAAATTTCATTTGAATACTAAAATTATTAATAAAAGTAAATTGAACTTATTAAAATAAATAAAAAATATTTCATTTAAAAATTATTAATTTATATAATAATTAAAGCATATTTATTATATGAATTAATTAATATTTTTAATATTTTAATTTTATGTTAATATGTTTTAAAAATATATTTTTGTAAAAAAGTTTTATCTCAAAATTTGACTTGAGTGACCGAATTTCGAACAATTTTTCCATAAAGGAGTATCATGATAAAAGGTCAACATCTGATTTTCAGATTATCGAATTTTGAGCAGAAAAAGAAGAAAAGAGATAAGATTTTGTGGTTATACTAGCAATAACTTGATTTTCGCAAACTTTTAAAGAAATGTGAGAAAAGAGAACAGATCTTGCAATTATTTCAGCAATTAATTGAATTTTGCAAACATTTAAAAAAGGCATTTTAGGGAAAAAATATTTCAATTTATTAGGTGATTAATTTTCTTTACCCAATTTGGTGGTTAGTCATTTTACTCATTTTAGTCCTTTGTGTTCTTCAGTACCATCTGTCATATTCAAAAGTTGAGAAGGTCAGCTTTCACATGTTTGCACAGCGTCAAATTCTCAAATTACTGCAAACTATGTTTGGTCCAATATGTGTATGGAGAATATTCTCTAAATTGTAATCCTAACATTATTCATAATATACATATAGTTTAAAATCGAATTACGATTGAACAAAATTTCACAATTTATGTAATAATTTATATTACGTCCAAAATATGAATCTAAAATTCCAAACACTAAACCAAAAGCAATAAAAAATTTCAATAATAATATCTTTAAAAGAAATAACTTTTACTCCAACTTTTTATTTATATTCTATTTATCACTAAATTAGTTTTCCCATTTTATTTCTCCCAACTAATCCTATTAGAATAGTTCATTTTAATATTTATACGTAATCTACTATACGAGTTTTCAAATTGCAGGTAACGTGTCATCTCATTTTCTTAGTTTTCTAGAATCTAATAATATTGTCGTACTTTTCATTGAATTGTCACGTTATTTTTTCCTACCATTCAATAACATCGTACCTTTTTACGTGAACTGAACAAACTTCCTGCAAAAAGTAAAAACTGTTTATTCAATAAAATCATGAAATTATCAATGGAGCGTACTTAAAGAATAGGAAAATAATATTTACACTCTTAAAAAAGCATACTCCTTATTTATGACAAACTTTAATAATATAATAATATATATTAAGATTTTCAGTTAAAAATTAAAATAAATATAATCAAAATATTATTAGTTAGGATGGTGAAATGTGTGGTTTTATTTTGAAGGAAATAATACCATCCGAATATTAATAATTTGATAATAATATTCAACTTAACTAGCATTGTCTGTCTCACAAAAGATTATTGTAACATTCAATCAATATATGTTTATTGGTTAATTACTCACATTTATAGTTAAGTTTTTCTTTTTCTTGTTTCCCCTTTCCAGATCATTCTTAAAATATATTTTTAAATATCCAATTTTTCATTAAATATTTTTGAAATGTCCCATGTAGCTCCACGATGAAAGTCCCTGCACCAAACAGCTGCACAACCAAACTTGCAATTAAATAAATATAGAAAACAATAATAAAAATTAAAAATAAAGCAAATACCTTGGCACCAAACGCAAAACAACGGGACGAAAGATAACGGGAGTCAACGGCAACAGCAGCTACGACGAAATCATCACACAGACGCGATGGAACATTAATGGCAACGGCAAACATAATAAACTCCGTCAATTCCATTGTTAACTGGAATTCTGAAAATTGAAATTGTGCGAATCAGAGTATGTGAATTGAGGTTATTAACCTTTATTGTTTTTAGTTTATTTTTGTTGCATTTTAATTGAAAATAAATTGTCCAAAATTCTCCTTCCATAGCAAATGTTATGTACAATAACCAATTCTTGGAGTCCAGCTTCTTAGATCTACGCAAAAATCTTCCAGCAACGCAACTGGAGAATCTCCCAGGGCGATTCAAAACCTGTAATGAGAGAGATAAGAAATTTACAGATCTTCTTCGGATTTCGACATGATCGAGAGACGACTCGGTCTCGGTTCGTAGGCTGATCTTCTCCTCTGTTGGTGCGAAGAAGGACGAATCAACGCAGTGAGAGCGCGTTTCACCCACTCACCTTCGACGCCTCCGATTCTGACGAGCGAGTTTTTCATCGCGGACCGGCGCATGTTGAGCCGGTTTGAGGGGAACGAACCTGCTGGTGCGTGGTGTTGACTGTTCTTGTGGAGACTGCACCGGAACGAACCGGGATGATTGGTAGGGGAACACATGCACGTTTTCTTCTGAACCGTAACGTGGCGGTGGTTCTTCTTGACGATTACGTGGCTCGACACGGTCCGGCTCGGGGAGATAGACCGGTCGAGGGCAAACCGGACGGAGGGAGATGGTGCCGTGCTGATTACGTTGACACGCGTCGGGGAAGTCGAACGGTGCGGCATGTGCGAGTGAGAATTTTCAAAGAAACTTGACGAAGACGAACGAAACTGTGCGTTTGACGTTGAATAAGAACAGAATTTGGTAGAAGGTAAGAGAGAAGAACGAAGCACTAGTCCGCTAGATTTTGTTGTTCTGGAAGAACTCGCCATTCAGAAACAACACAGGAAAACAACGAAAGAAAGCAGAAAGACAAAGGGCAAAAAGGACTTTTTCGTATCCTTCTCTTTCTAAGTCTCGTTTGAGGAGTTGGTTCGGCAAACCTAGCGACTCTCCGAGGCTTCTCTTATAGTCCTTAACGCATGGTTTGCTCGTCATTAACTTCTCCTTCGGAGGCATTTTCGTAATTGACCAACTTAACCATGGTTAAGTGAGTTTAGGTAAGTATGTGAAACTGGAACCGTTGATCTTTACTAGGAAGTTTCCTTGGGTGCCACGTGGACCTTAACAATTAAGGTTAATGCTCTGATGATGGGTTAATGCAATGGTGACGAGGGAGTTAACTAACCGCGGTCAGCCGTTGTCCTACCAGTTTTGAATAATCTTCCACACGATGAAGAGGCGTTTATACTTGACCGTTTTGGTACGACGCATAATCAATGGCCTAACTACTTTCGCTCTAATTTTTTGAGAAAATAGAAATATACGTATGCGATACTACTGTATTATTGAATTTGATTCCCAGCATTATATAGTTCAGACTTTTAATAAGGTTTGGAATATGTATGGCGTGACATATCTTCTACATTGCATAATTAATTGACCCAATGATTATTTATTTCAGCCTAAAAGTATTATTCTGGTACGTCTACCAAATATTATGAGTTTAATTATCATGAAGTCCAAAAATAATGTTCTTTATATTTTTATATGTTCAAAAATTAATTTCAATTCAATTATAAACACTGTAACTTTGAGTTTGTTCTACACAATATTATATGACTAATAGTATCAGAGAGATTCTTAAAACCATGTAATTCAATTTCTAATGTTACTTTAACAATATGATCTTAGGTAATATTGATATATGATTTTTTGCAATAATTTTTAGAGAAAAAGGAATAATGGTCAACAAAGATACTTGAAGATTTAAAAATATATATGTGCAATTAAGTTCTTAGAATTTAGGAATCGATGAATTTGATTAATGTTTAGTTTGAGTCAAAATTTATATTCCTAATTTGATATGTATTCTGAAAGATGTAGGATATATTAAAGTTTAATTGTATATTACCCTAAAAATTGTATATATAATTATCCGAATTGAATATTTTATTACACGATAGCTGAAATACATAAAGAAAAACTTCCATTATAGGAAATTTTGACATTCTAAGTGAGTTATTATCAAAACCCACAAAGAATTTACTTATGTGGAATGATGTGTTGCACACCTCAATAGAGGTTCTCTACCAAAGATAATTTATGCTCCTAATGGATAACAAACATAAAATATTTATAAACGATTTTGATTTATGTATTAAAAGTGTTATTAACAGAAGTTTGGATAAGTACGTTTATTCTCCGGTTTTGTTCTGTTTTATATTTATTACTTTTTTGTTTTTGTTTTATATTTAGTACTTGTTTGAGTGTATCTAAAGTTATAGTTTAGTTTGATTATTATCGACTCAATCAAATTTTGGGTGGGTTTGACTGGGTCGTATTTAGTCGATTTTTGGTCAGAGTTAATTTATTAAATTTGGTCGATTTTTGATAAAGGCTAATTTAGATAAATTTCATTTGGAGTTGACTCGACTGAGTTTCGACCATATTTGACTTGGCTGAATTCGATCAATTTTTGGTTGGAAAGACCATTCATGGTTGTTTTGACCAAACTTTGTTAATTTTGAACCAAGGTTAACTCAATTGGATTCAACCGATTTCGATTGGGATCAACTCAACTAAGTTTCAAACGTTTTCGTCCCGGCCGAATTCGACCAACTTTCGGATGGGTCCAATTTGGCCAAATTCGATCGATTTTTGATCGGCATTGACTCGATCAAGTTTTGATCGTGGTCGTTCCATCCAAACTAAGTCATTTTTTTACTTAGGCCTTCGGTCGAGACTGACTTGACTAAATTTTATCTATGGCCTTCCCAACCTAATTCGATTAATTTTAGGTTGGGATTGACTCGACTGAGTTTTGACTGTGCCTGTCCCGACCAAATTCGATCAAATTTCATCGTGACTCGTTATGACATTTTGTGTGACCTGGTCTATGTCAACCTTTGGTCTGACCCGACTCATCGCAATTTTTCAATTTTGTTGTTTATGGGGGAACCTATGTTTCTAAGTAAAGAAAGATCTTTCCTATCTAGTTAGCTAATTTTTTTCAAGGTTTTTACATAATAGTTTAGTTTCGTTTGTTAGATCAATAATTAATTTAAACTAATTTTCAGTTCAATTCAAGTGAATTATTTTAGGTTTAGTGTAATTTTTAACAGTTAAGTGCATTTTAATTAATTTTGTCCACTCGTAGAGAATGCTTGTATTTATAAACAAAAAGGTGGAAAAAAAATTGTAAAGATAATAATTGATTGTCAAAGAAAGTTAATTCATGAAATATACGCTATTTGATTTATTATTTTCTTATGAGTGTCAATTGTCATATTTAATGAGATTCGTGATATATTATGCTCATAATTATATTTATTATTTTGTGATATTTATTACGAGAATAATATGCTCATATTACAAGATATTATGAGAATATTTATATTTATTTAATATTATTTTCTGGCTTGAATGAAGCGAAGTACATAAACCTCCTAAATTTGGAGCTTTACAAGGTGAACGAATCAGACTTGTAAGTCTGATTTGGTAAAGTGGAGTTAGAGTGTGTATGTGGTGTTTAACATTTTCGATTTGGAATTATCCTTGGCTATGGTGTTTAACATTTTCGATCAATGTAGTAGTTTGTTTTGAACATGCTTTTGACCATTCATTTATGGTTTGTTGTTTTTCGAAAAACCTCAAATTGCATTCTCCTATCGTGGTTGGTAATTACGGTTAAGAATTATATTTTAAGTCTAACTTAACTCCACAAAATCGATTTCCTATGATATGCTTTAACTTTTGACTCTGATATAATGTTTAGAAGTGAATTTTAAACCTAACTCAACCCCCCCACAAAAGTGGCTTGTAAGGTGAGGTTTACACTCACTTATATATTGTAAATTATCATTATCACTAGTTGATGTGAAACTTTTAACACACCTCCTTAAGCTGGTAATAAGTGTTTTTCATTTTTAGCTTGGATATAATTCTTTCAAAATTATTGTTGTTCAACCTTTTCTAAAGTATATTTACAAGTTGTCGTTGAGAAGAAACATATAGTGTGTAAATCATGTTGGTGTCAAGCATTTCTATAACAAAATGTGTGTCCACTTTAATATGTTTGGTTCTATCATGTTGTACTTGATTATGAGCTATGTTAATTGTAGAATTTTTTTTATCACAACATAGGTCCATCACAATAGCTTACATATCCCTTGAGCCATTGGTCGAAATTTTGTTTCAACATTGGAGTTGGCTACTACACTTTAGTTTTTACTCTTCCAAGTTATCAACAATTGAACCTGCATAATTAGCATCAGTATATGCTTCAAGATCAACATTCTTGTTTCTTTTGAACAAAATTCTTCTTCTTGGTGTCTCTTTCAAATATTGAACAATCCTTATAACAACTTAAGTGGGCTTCCTTTGGTTGATGCATAAGCTGACTTAGTAAACTCACAACAAAAATTAATATGAAGTCTAGTGTGAGATAAATAAATAAGTCTTCCTACAAGTCTTTAATATATTTCTTTATCAACTTTACATTTGGATCAACAGGTGTGCTTGTTGGTTTACAGGCCATTTTACCCATTTCTTGGCAGAGATCAATGATATACTTTTGTTGCGATATAAAAATCTTTCTTTAAGTGAGCAACTTCAATTCCTAAGAAATATTTCTTTTTCCTGAAGTCTTAATTTTAAATTCTCTGACTAGACATTAGCTCAACCTTTATTGTTCATTTTCATCATTACCGGTCACAATAATATCATATACATAGACTAGAAGTATTAGCCCCTTAAATCAGAATGTTTAATAAACAAAATGTGGTCTCCTTGACTCAATTTATATTAGAGACCTATCATGACTTTGGTAAATCTTATAAACCATTTCTAGGTTGTTGTTTCAACCTATACAATGTCGTTTTTAATTTGCATACTATGTTTGCCTCAATCTGTCCCGTATGTCCAGGTAATACCTCCATGTATATTTCTTCTTTAAGATCTCTACGTAAAAAAACATCTTTCACATAAAATTGTAGCATATTTATAAATCCTAAACTCTAAACCAATATAACTCTAATCATGTTCACTTTTGCAATTGGTGCAAAAGTCTCCAAGTAAGATACTCCATATGTTTGAGTGAATCCTTTTACCTCCAACCTTGTCATGTACCTCTCAATGTTTTCATTAGTCTTGTATTTTAAAATATAAATCCACTTTGGAGTTTAGAGCTCTTTTTATGATTTTGTCCTTAAAAGACACATCAGATGGTTAAGGGATTAAGGTGCATTTAAACTGCTTTTGACATCGACTCGTAAGTAATGTGTGACTAGTTAGTATATCAAAACAAGTCCCCAGTTGAGGACTAGGAGAGTTTTCGTCCTCATAGACAATTCTCTGGTCCTAAATCCATTGAGATAACATCATGAAAATCAATCACCATATTTAAAGTATTGTCTGCTTTGAAGCCTGGAGTTTTTGTCATGGTTTTGTTCTTAAAAGACCACTTCAAAGTGTTGAAAGAAGAAATAACATTTAAATTTTCATTGGCCTCACTCCTAAATGATGTAAAACTATTAAGTATACTACAACACCAAATAAAAAATATATATAATATCAAACTTAAACAAAATAATATATTGAAAGAAACTATTCCTTTAAAAATTACGAAATAGAAATAAATCACAGGTATCACTTTTTTTAAAGTAAAAGACAAAATATGTTCTTCTTCCTTGATCCAAGTCAGCTATTTAAACTTTTGTCTGTACCTGGCTGCTTGGATGCATTGACTTTATCATTCGTCCTTTACCACGTTTATGTACTGTTGCTTCTTGGATAACATTCTTGAATCGAACAAGTAGGTAACTAGTGATCATTACTTAACTTTGTTACCTTATACTTTAATGAAATACCAAATATTTTATCAACTTTAATAATATCGAAACTATATATCCGATTTGAATTTTTATCCTTCACTTCTTGTGGCTGTAACAA